ATATGTAATGTGTGTATATATATGTAATGTGTGTATATATATGTAATGTGTGTGTATATATGTAATGTGTGTGTATATATATATATACATATAAATCTATATATATCTCAAATCATATCTACTCAAAGCAAAACAAGCTTGAGGAACTATTAATGCACCTATTCTTCAAATAGGAAAATGCTTCTTGGAATTCTATTCATATGTAAAGCAGTAAAAAAAGAATTTGCTTGCACTGAAGGTTATTTTATTCAGTAACAGTCCATCAGCAAATGGTTCCTCTTTTACTTACTTTTGAAACTGTGGTTTTAGAGACAAACAAAGAGTAGTTATATCCACATAAGGAGCATCTTAGATTTTAAAAGAATAAGTCCATTCATTCAGGAAAACCTGAAAATTCTAACAAATTATTTGTGACAGGAAAGCTGACAAAATTGTAAGCCAAATAACTACGCTGGTAGTCTATCACCTCAAAACACCAATTATGGTTTTAATTCTAAAAATTTCTGAGTAAGAGCTTCACTAGCAAGTCTCAGTATTTCTAGTGAAGCCATGTTTGAAATCCTCACACATAAGAATGAAAAACGCTAAACTAGAGATTTTCAATGTACCCAACTCAAAAAGCATAGCAGCAATTAAAATTCTAAGTAATCTGCTTCAGATGCTCATTTTGTCCCAGTGGCTTTTCCTGGTCTCCTTCCTATTCTTTTTCCCCACCCTTGAGCAAATTTAACCTCCAGTGGCAATTTACTAGGCTGTAGGGCCCTAGCAAAATGAATACAAATATCTTAACACTGCCATTGGCTGGGCAATATATTTCAACTTGGAAACTGCTCTGCAATTGCACATTAATCCCTTCAGAGTGAACAGAGGGTCCAGGAAGAAAGGATTGATCTCCTTTAATGATGAAACCCTGGCACTCCAGTTTTATTTTTCACAACACAGTGCTGCTAAGAACCCCACTGTTATTATGAAAATTTTCCTAGCAAAGAAGCTCCATCACATTACCGCTGCACCAATTCATCATAACGTGCCGCGCTCCTGCTCATCAACAAGTCTGAGTGATGAAAAGATCCAATATTATCCTGACAGTACTTCATGCGCATTCTCAATCACACATTATTACAGCATCCATATTAATTTTCAGTGACACACGTCCTAGGCCTGTTCAAATTAGGCAAACCAACGAGGGGGAGTTGATGAAATACCAGCATAGCCACAGCTCATTGCATTCCAATTTGCATGCAAATGGTTTATCAGGAAAATTCCATTCCCAGCAACCAGCAAGTGAAAAACAACTGTAATCTACACTTCAGGGCCACCATACAGAGCTTAATGAATCGCAAAGAGAGAAGGAAGTGACAGACCTATGAGAGGATCGATTTCCACTGGCAGCTGGTATGGCTGGTCTTGTACAGCACCTTGATGAGCTGGAATTCACAAAAGATTAAAAAAAGAACATTAGTTTTCATATACTGAATTACATAAAAATGCATAAGTCAAACCTTATGTAGAATTGTTTCCAACCTCCAAATCGCTCATGCAGTTTTGTGAAATTTCAAGAAAAGAGAAATCCAGGTGCTTTTATGGCTAGCTTATTAAACATTTATTTTAGATTAGTGCTGTTCTGAACATGTGCCATCAGCAGTGGCTCCAGTCCTAGGACATAAGCTATAGCAGATGCTTGACTGGCAACCTCTGATGCTGCAACAAAACAAAATTAAGTGGTAAAGCGCGTTGAAAACAAAATGTGACAACCATCTGCTGACTGTAGCAAATACTATTTTTTCGTTACTTCTTAAAAAGGCAGTTTTGAATGCTACAGCACAAAGGATCCACAAAAATGTCAATTTATGATGGAGAGAGCGAAAGCTTGAAGTCAGAGAACGTTTAGTGTTTCATCCATCACTTAAAGTCAATTGAAAGTTTGAATAAAAACAAAGAAAGCTCTCCACAGATAAATGTTTTAGTTAGATGCATTTGGCCAAAATATTTTCTTAAAGACTGGATTGAGGTTTTAAAGAAAGTTTTATTAATATTTAATATTGCCATGGTTTTAATTTAAAAATACTCTAAGAGGCAAATGAGTAACAACGATCAATTTAAAGTAAGAATAGCTTGTTCAATTCTCAAAGCAGTTCTAAAAATTCAGGCATACTTATTTGTAATTGAAAAGAGGTTTTGTAGGCTGTAGAGCAGAAAACACGCTTAGAATCATAAGCTGCCATAGCCTAGTTGGGTAATCTTGGCACATCTGAACCTTAAGGTTTAGAGTAGGTCATATTTCCAGTTTTAGAGTTCAGAGTCTGAGTCCTCATGCAAACTACTTTCTCCCAAAAGACTGTATCACTTCTCCTGGTCAGTATCTGCCTTTTACAGACTCACAAGCATTTAAATTAGAGCTTGGTCAGTGTTAGAGATGTGTTTAAGAAGTTCCATGAGTTTTAGGACATCTGTCTTTGAGTTGTTGAAAATAAAAAGGGGTGGATTTAATTAGTTCATAGATTATTTTAAGACCAGTATCACCATTTTTCAGCAAAGCCAAAACTCATGGCTGGGAGTCAACTATCCTTTAGGGTTTCAAAAGCTATAATTTTTTAACAATTTTTTAAGCTGTAAATCTTTACAGGAGCAAAGTAGCTCAACTCACATCCCTGGAATAGATGCTGGTTCAAACAACTGACATTCTGGTTTGAAACCCATAGCCTACTGTATCACCAAGGCTCATTCCCCAGCTATCACTGACTGCTCAAGGATAATGAAAGAATTGCTGATACTAAGAAAATACTTGCAAAAATACAACACAGGCATGAAAAATTATAACTTAATGCTATCATGAATTCAATCAAGTACCTCAATAAGATATGCTGAATCCTGAGCCCTTTCTCTCTTGAATCTTGCTTAAGGGTTTTTAAGTGTTACCAGTGATGGTAAGCAGTCATACTGAAGTAGGGAAAGGACCTAATCCTTTTTTTTTTAAAACCAGAAATCCATTGTCATTAAATCAAGTGACACTCCATCAGATTTTGTTTTCAAGGCTGTAAATCATTACAGGAGAAGACTGTCCATCTTTCTACTCAAAAGTGGATTTGAACTGCTAACCTTTCAGTTGGCAGCCTCTTTCCTTACATACCACACCTCTTGGTCTCCTTAACACGCTGCCACACACTTTTAAATTGACAACCATGCTTAGAAACACATTTTTTTCTTCTGACGTATTACTGTCATTTGCGGCAATGTGTTAATCCCTTTTTGTTGTTATATACCACTGAGTAAGAACCAACCCACAAACAGGTTTTCAGAGGCAGTCTGATTGCATGGGAGGAGACTGCCCATCTCTCTTTCATGGAGTAGCTGGTAGATTCTAAATGCTTACCTTTGGGATTGCAGCAACTTCTTACCACTAGACCACCAGAACTCGCTAACCCCTTTTTAGTGGTGTCATATAAAGCAGGAGAACAACCAGGGAGAAAATCATACACAAGAGGAAAGTACCAGATAAAGATGCATCTACAAGCAAAGAAATGCCAATGCATGCTGGTAGCTGCTGGAAGCTGAGAAGCAGTTCTCAGAAGGACTTGGTATGGCTAATGCCTTGAATTGAACTTCTAGACTCCAAACAACGAGCCCTGGTAAGCTAATGGTTAAAGAGTTGCACTGCCAACACAAAGGCAGTTCAGTTCTAAACCACCATTCAGCGTGTGGGAGAATGATGGGTAATCACCTCCCATGCGATTTACAGACTCACAGCATGGTCAGGTGTGTGTCGGTTCCGACTCGAGAGCACATAACAACAGACTCCAGACTTGTAAGATAATAAGCGTCTACTCCTTAAATATATCTATTTTGTGGCAATTTGATATGAATGACCTAAGAACCTCAGACAATGTGTAGAAGAGACTAAAGTAGTTGATGAAATGAAGCAGTGGCTCACTCTTTTTGCTGATTACTGACAAGGCCAGTTAAGAAATCACAGGACACTTGGAGACAAAGATTGGGGAAAATGCACTGTAGTCCTTGTTTACCAACAGCACCCATTAAAACTAATATCCTTAAAATTTTCCCCTGAGAATCTGGGATTGTATAAACATTAAAACCAAACTGTCAGTAAGATATTACCAAGGTTAATAATTTTTGTTATGTTTCAAATCCAAGTTCTATCACTAGATGAATGTCTGACCTTAAGCACGTAACCTCTGTGTTTGTTTCCTTGTCTGTAAAATGGGTCAAATGGAACCATATACGTTTCAACACCTGGACTTTTTGACAGGTAAAAATTGCTATCTGTATGATTCCACCTAAATACAGAACTACATAGAAGGACTGCTGATGGAGTTAAGTGAACTAATACAGACAAAGTAATTAGAACAATACTGAGAAACTGGACAATAATAGCTGACAAATATTATAATAAATATTAGCTGCTCCCTCCCATCTGAGATATTTTTGCAAGGTCTTATGAATGAGAAAGAAGGATAAAGGCGATTCCCTTCCCCCCCAACTATGACCTAGATATTACTCAAAGAAAAGACAGAAATTAACTGTCTTAGAAACAAAATATAGAAATCACAAGTCCCTTAGAAAAAAAGTGACCTTGCTATCTACTGAAGAAGGGACTTTGGATGTTTATTTTAAATCAAGGCATGCAGATAGGTAAAGGTTAGAATAGATAAGAGATCAGATTTGGGTTAACATACAAGAAGAGGCATAGATTAACTAACAATGGATGTTTAACATTTGTACCTGTGGCTCTAAATGGAAAATCACAATCTAGAAATACAGCTTGCTGTGGGTTCCCATAATAATTCTTTTTTTATATTCTTCTTCTTGATCTTTATCTGATGACTAGTTGCTGTGCCATAATTGTAAAGTGGGGACAGAAGCCACTAGTGTCACAAAGCAGTTTTCTAGACACAGAGTAAAGTTCATGAAGAATTATTGGCCAAGAATTGACAGAATATATGTAGACCCTTAAGCTCTTACCTTAGGTAAGTGCTAATCTGGGCTAGGAACTGCTGGATGTATCACAGATCGACTCTGATTGAGCCATCCTAACCAAAATTCACTTTACCATACTTCTAAGAAGAATGAAGGTACTCGGCAGAATCCACCAGCTGCTCTGTGGGAGAAGGCTGGGACATCTCCTCTCCTGTGATTCATTGCCTCTGAAAATCTGCTAGAGAGTTAGTAAGGGTCACTTCTAACTTGATGGCACACAACAACAACAGAGGAAAATGAGAGTGGGGTAGAAACCATCTGACCACAAGTACTAATGAGGCTTTTCACTCGGGGACCTAGGCTTACTCAAAAGGGGAGCAGCAATCCAAGGCACCAATCTTAGAATGTGTACATTACAATGGATTATCACCAAGAGTCTTGGTAGCCCTTGCTGGGCCTGCTCTTTGCTAGGCTAGTGTTAAGTTAACAACAGGGCGTGGGCAAACACTTTCTAGCAGTTAAATACGTTTGTCCTCCTTCCATATGCCTCATATGCTGTCACTTTACTTTTTTTCTGTTGTTGTTATGTATCATCAAGTAGAGTTGAAGTCAACTCCCTTTTGGCTGATTAACTGATCTTCTAATGAGTTTTCAGAGGCTGTAAATCACACAGGAAGAGAGAACTACCCATCTTTCTCCTGCAAAACAGACCTGCCTTTGGGTTAGGAGCACAACTCCTTACCACTAAAGCCACCTGAGCTCCCTAGAGCATCCACTAGAGCTTCCTGTCACTTAGTTTAGGCTGGAAAATTTTTTGAGTGTTTTCACAAAGCCTCTCAGGATTTGTGGTGGTCCTAATGTTACCATCACTGGTGGCTTTGTCAAGATTTAACTGAGAGAGTAGGTAAATCCTCTGGTATATTTGATAAAATACACAACCAGCAAGAATGTCTTCTAACAAATGGTATTTATTTGGATAACTTTCCTCCTTAAAGTAACACTTCTTTAAGAGACTTATGGTGGCCAAGAGGTAAGGAGGTCTGCATGAGAAAAGATGGGCAATCTCCTCTCATGCAATTTACTGTCTCTAAAAACCTGCTGGTGGGTCAGCTAAGAGTCAGATCCAACTCAAAGGTACACAAAGACAGCTAAAATATATGTCATTTGTGCATACATTCTTCCACTGAAGAAAAGCTCACATGAAGGAATAAGAAGACTTTAAGTTGCTATATATCTGCCTCAGTCTTCCCTTATCTCCAGTTTTTCTCACATTTGTTCTCTAAGCAAATACTGGCATTGTGGGGCTTTTACCCTCTCATTATCCAATAGCCAGGAATATGACTATATTTACATTCTGACAACAAACACACAAAGTCTTCCTCACATGTACCTAATTGAGTACAGTCAGTATACTACGGTTTTGTCTGGATGTCAATTCAATTAAGCTCTAAATTCTAAGAGTAAGTTATAAAACTCTTGCATTTAATTTGGCATAAGAGTCCTCTTCAAGAACGTAATTTTTTTTACCATTTCATGTACTATAATTAGCAGTGTTTCACACACTTTACAGATTTAATGGTGAGTTAACAAGTATTGCAAATGTATAGTAACCACTCTTAAAAATGGTTTTGGTTAGGGGAAAGAAAAGGCCGATGATCTCCAAGACTTTGAAAGAAGGTTGTCTTATTTCATCTTAAAAAAATAATTTAAAATTCTAAACAGTGGCCAAAATGAACACTACTAAATTCTAACATTCCTACTCTAATCAGAAGCAATAAATCACAGGAGTTATCCTAAAATCTGTGTTCAAATAACCCTGACTAAAGGAGGCTCTTTTGAGCTCAGTATCTTCACTGGTAGAAAATAGGCTGGACATGACGAACTTTAATGCTTCCACAAGCTCATTTACTTTATGATTCTAATGCTTATTTCAGTACCTTGTCTCTTTAATTACCATGACTATTAAGGAGCTCTGGTGGTGGTGCAGTGGGGAAATAAATACTCGATTGCTAACCAAAACAGTAATATTTCAAACCCACTCGTGACTATGAAGGAAAAAGATGTGGTGGTCTGGTCCTGTAATGATTACAGCTTTGGAAACCCTGTGAGACAGTTTCTACTCTGTCTATGAGGTCAGTATGAGTAAGAATTAACTCAACAGCAATGGGCTGCTGAGCACTGAAAAGATTTTCGTGCACTTGATGAGTATGCATTACCAGTATAATTTAAATGTTTTTCTACCATCCATACCAAATGACACAATGCCATGGACAAAAAGCACAATTTATAGCATACTGTTGACAATCAGAAGTGTTTGATAAGTAAATGAATGAGAACAAAAAGCAGAACATCTGATGAATAAAAAATTTATATTATTTATGGGCATAATATGGAACATTATTATACTACAACAATATTTATCTCTGAGGAATAAAAACAAACCACCAGATGCCAAGGAATAGTTTATGCTTCAACATTTGTACCAGATGGCTCATATGGGACTTCAAGTCTTTGACGCTATTAATCATTTGATTCATAATATGTGGGAACTAAAAGCTTAAATTTGAGGTAGAACACATTTCAAAGGATGATACAATTTCTTTATACAGTATTGAGCATGTAGTTTGTTTTAAAATTATGTTTCTTTACTTACCAGGAAGGTTGTGCCATTTGTTCACGGCAAACAGTCTATTAGCAGTGACTGTGATCACAGCAGGAGTTGCCAAACCAGGTTGGGTGTTGGCTGCCACGTGAGTGACAGGGGAGTTGGAAGGGAACTTTAGGACCATGATAACATCCTGCTGGGCTTGGTCTGTGAACATCAAGGGACTCTGCAGGAGGAGATACTGTTGAGTGGGCATGACAAGAAACCAAATACACACACACACACACACACACACAAAAAAGGACAAAGACGAGACGGAGAGAGGGAGCAGGAAAAGAAGAGGAAGACCATGTTAACACCGCTGCAAATGAAGGTAGAGTATGCAACAAAGCTTATAGAAACAGCAACTGCAATCTGCTTCTTTTTCATGTATGTCATTTGTTGAAATTTTTTGGTGAATGAACCAGCATACATACATTAAGAGGATGTTTTAAAAAGCCACAGAATGAGAATATGCAATAGCCATTAAAGCAAGCCAAAGTAATTTCTAAAGATCACCGAAAGTTGTGTTGAGTTAGCACAAAGATTTTGACAATGAAATAAAAAGATAATTAAACAAATATATCTATAAACAACCGTCAGCGTTCATTATTACAGAAGAGAAATAATTTACAGATGTGATATACAAACTTAATTATAAAGGTGTTTCAAAGTGATGCATAATTAAATGTAAAAACAATATAATTATATAGTGTACCAAGTCATAAATGTTACTCTATTATAATGCAAATGCTACTGCTTCCTGCTATAGGTAGGAATAAAGACAATAAAAGAGAAATAATCTAGATGTCCCTTTTTCTGTCTTGATCTAAAAAAAAAGAAGGTTCAAAACTTAAAAAAAAAAATTTTCCTTCGAAAAGCAGAAATTCAAGCTGTTAAGCAAAATATTCTCTCTTCTAATTATTGGCAAGCAATCTTAAAAGACTACTAAGGATTTGAAATGTTCCTGCAGCCCCTATATCATAATATAAGACACATAGACCAATACTTTGATTTACGGGCTTTATTTCTACTTTGTGGTAGTATGCCATCATACAGTAATTGCACTGTACATTTTCAGCCATTCTCGTCTACTATGTCTATTTTCTAATAGCTGATTAGTATCATTCAGAATTAGAACACTTTGATGAAGTGCTTCTGGCTGCTTCCCGAGTGCCATATTTCAAAACACCAGGTATATGTAAATGTGTAGACACATATATTTAACACATATTTATTCAGAACTGCTAATAAAAAATTAAACAAATTTGCATTTTTATTATCAGTCCTTTTAAAAAAGTTATTAAGAGTACTTAGGAAAACATATTGCACTAAGAATTCCTATTTGCACTCTTTGCATAAAGGTGTAAATAAAGGCAACTAATAAGCTACCCAGACACCCTTCTGAGCAAGTGGCTAAAAGCCAATCAATATTATGAGTTAATCCTCCCTGGATGCTCATTCAATTAAAGGTGTCAGTAATGCCTCATCTGATGTGGCCTCAATTAAATCCAACTATCTGATGGTGTGAAAACACAGGGGGATACAGTAACAGCAGCAAAACCAGACAAATAGGCAGGCTTCGTGTGCCTGCTAATTACTACACCTGGTGTATATTATGGCTCATGCACTTAACGCAGCACGAGGTGGCTTTAATTTCTTCTATATTTGTGTGTGTGTGCATGCGTGTGCAAGAGTGTGTGATGGGGTGCACTGATAGCTGACGAAGTAACTCATCTGTTTGTAAAAATAATCCATAAACAATTGTGCTTTAATTTTTAAAGCCCCTGATATCAGTAATGTATGTTTTGTTATAGAAATATTTCATATGGTTTTATAACGGCTGTGGAAATGGGTAAAATGAGAAACAATAGAGCAGCAGACAACAAAATAGTCTGTAGGATTTTAAGAAGCCTGGGAAAAAGGAAAATGATATTATTTCAGAGTAATGAGATTCATTTTCAATTACGTTATTTTATAATATTTACTAAAGTTAATTTATGAATTCTGAGAAGATTCAGTTATATCAAAAAGTCTCACTAAAAAAAATACATAATTTTTAGCATATCACCTCACAATGTAAATATAATCAAAGCTCTGATTGAATAATTTCAATATTTATGTCCTACAAAAAAAGGGTGGGGGATCCCAAATGTGTCAGAAGAACGTCTTGTTTACATTATGACTCTGGTGGGCTGACTTCTAGTCACGTGGCCAAGGCAAGCCACTCTGCACAGCAGGCTGCAGATGCCATATGTAGAACATGCTCTCTGTCCTCCTGCGACAGTCTGTACCTCAGGTCTGTTCCTCTAGCCCCATCCTGACTATAATTCCCAATGCAGGCAAGCAGCAGGGCATTTGCTTGGGAGCTCCAGATCCAAGAAGTACAAAATGAGAAACATTAGAAAGGAGAAAAAACATATTCCATACTGGGCTGGGCTGCAATGGTGGTCACAGCATCAGCCAAACAATGGCAAAATAGAGCTGAAAGAACAAGAAACAATTCTTTATCTACTTTGGGTGCCTCTGCCATTCAACACTGAGGTAGGGAGCCAGAAAACTGCTACACAGCTTTCATTCCATTTTCCCAGATCAAGTGTATGTTTGCTGACAACTCAGATTTTTCTTCTGATGTGACTTTCGTTTCTATCACATAAGTTTATGATGGAAAATAGAAGCTGTACAAGTTGGAAACCAAATTCAGAGGACAGAGAGAAGGAAAAAGATGGTCTCTGGTTCTTATATAAGTCTGTGCTTTCCAGCCTAACCACCTGAGGGATAGTACAATTAATCTGTCTCAATGAACCAGTCATCCTTTTGATGTGGAGAGAGGGTTGGCAGTGGGAATTCCCTCGCTGCCTCAGTGACCAAGGTTGTGCAGTGACCCAAGCAGAAAGTCACTAGAACAGTGCAGAGGCTTCTGTCAGCCAGAACCAAGAGCAGGCTGACTATCACTGACAAGTTATTACTAAACCTATCTTCAATGTCCAAACAGAAATCCTTCTTACATTTTTATGGAACCACCTTCCACTATTCTTGTTAAATATTTGCTTTTGTGTAGGCTATGTCAACTAAACTCACCATTCATGTTCCTCTAAGTCTGATTTCAGCCTTTTCAAAACACTTAGGGCAAAAGGTGTCACAAATTGATTAAAAATGCTTTCAGTTTATTATTATGGCCAAATTTCCTACTAAGGGAAAGACGGAATAAAAGCTTTGAAAGAAAATATAAAAAGAGAGGGCAAAAGGAAAACAAAACCACAGAGAAGATGATGAAATGGTTAGAAAAAGGAGGACAAACATACACAGACAGGCTCACATCTCTATTTCTTACTCCCCTAACTACCACCCTCTCCTTCCCATAATCTGACAGAAGTGAACCATCTCTAAGCCACAAACAAAATGAGAATCCATCTTAAAGGGTTTAGTCTATTTATAAAAACAGATCTCTTAGTCTATTCGTAATTAAAACAGTTAATAGGCAACTATTTTTATGGGGGGCAAATCAAGAAAAACATTTAAGAGGCTGTTTTTAAAATAATATTTATTTTTATCATGTAATTCAGTAGCTCTTATTGTGTTGTTATTTTAAAAATCTCATTGAAAAGTTTCCCCTTTGAAATACTAGGAATTATAAAAGTAAAATGGTTGTAACATTTTGTGGCTCAAGTATGTACTTCACTACCCCTTGATTTTGCTGGCTTTGTGACTTCCTTTGCCAATGGAATGTGGCAGAATTGATGGCGTGTGCTTTCAGAAGCTGGGCCTCAAGAAACCTAGCCATATCTGTCTTCATACTATTCTAGTACTATTCCTGCAATGAGAGGAGTAGGAGGCCTGGCCTAACCTCCTTGAGAATTACATAACACAGAATAAGACTTCCAGCTTCCAGACCATCCTCTAGCCATGCACAAATGTATAAACATGAAAAGGACACAAGAAATACCCAGCCAACCCTCAGAATCAACGTAGTAATGAATTACAGTTTGAAGCACTATGCATTAGATGTTTTGGTAGATAGAGACCACCTCTTCCTTACATCATGGTTGCTGTTATGTGCCATTGAGTCGCTTGCGACTCATAGTGACCCTATGTACAACAGACCTAAACCTCATGGTTTTAGGTCCTTAATATTATCTACATATTAGAATTAGTCTTAAAAGTCTCAAATTGAAAGACATGTTTTCACATGGGATGTAAAAGCAAACAGTCCAAAAAATTAACCAATAAAAAGAGTAATCTAGAAAGCCAGAAGATCAAGTCAGAAAACAGATTTACTCTTGTGTCTGGCCTTCTTCCTCTGTGCAGTGAGGATCTGTAACAATTTTGAACCTTCTCATCCTGCAATACCAAATGTGAGCTGATTAAATGCTAGTGCACCAGAGCTACATTCACCTTCTCTGAGGCTCCACGGGAGTTGCTGGCAGACATTGCATAAGAAGAACAGGAGAGCTGCCCAGATGAGGCAGAGAATCTTAAGCACAAAGAAAGACTGTTTGGAGTGTCAAGTGCAGTTTGAGAGAGAGGCAAGAAAGAGAGTCTAAGGCCTTACCGCTTGCATGGCAGAACCTCTGGGAGGATGGGGCTCTATAAGCAGCTGAGACGGCGTCTGTCCAAAACTTCGGATTTGAGCTTCAACAGCCTGAAAAAACCATGGGCAAGTTTGAGGGTTAAGAGGTGTTAATTACAGGCCATAGAGCCACAGCTGTTACCTGAAATGTCAGTCCATACTTCTGGCTTGTTTCATGTTGAAAACCAACCTTGTGTGTTCACAGTGAGGCGAAGCACCTGGCAAGGGCACTGAGTGTGAGGTCATCCTTTACCATGGAAGCCGTTTTTATAAAACCCTGCAAAACTTTCTCATCTTGTTCAGTGATATGAAACAGAAACCAGCTATTACAATCAGAAATTGTCCCTTTTGGCTTCATGTCTGTTTTCGTCCATTTGGTTTTCCTGCTTGCATCATCCCTAATGACTAAAAGCTAATCTTTTACAAGTATAGAGGAAACCTATTGCTGCTTTCATTCTAAGCACCATTGCAATTTGGAAAGTGGGAAGCAGGAAGAAAAGAAACATAGAACCTGTGAAAATGGGTTGGTAATACCTTTTTTTTTTTTTTTGCCAGAGGAAGAGTATTATTATTGACAGTCTCTGTGAACCTAGTGGCTAAACAACAACAACAACAACAACAACAACAACGTAAAAAAGCATATGCTGTATCCAAGTATGAGATGGTTAAAACAGGGTCTAACATAGGAAAAGTGTGTGTTGCTCATAACAGATATGTGCATGCACCTTGCATCCCCATACATCTGTGTGGTTCTCCAATACACCTTGCATAGATGTTCGCTTCCCAATTTCTTTATTGGGATAATCTACTGAATGACAGATGCTATCATTGTCTTAAATTGCCTGATTTGTTTACTTACTTAGACCTTTCTTCCTCCACTAAAATACAGGCTCCAAAAGAGCAAGAATCTTCACTATTATATCCCAAAATTGAGTGAATTAACAGATGCTACAGAGTGAAGACTGTGAGAATGGTGCAAGACTAGAAAGTGTTTTATTCCTTGGTACATAGAATCACTATGATTGGAGTCAATTTGATGGCATGCTAAGGAATTGCACTGACAACCCAAAGACATATGGCTCAAATCTATCAGTGCTCTGCAAGGGAAAGATGGGCAATCTTATCCCATGTGATTTACAGTCTCAGAAAACCTACAGGAGAGTCACCTATGAGTCAATTCGGACTCAGCAGTTGGTGTTGGGTGCTGCTGAGCTGACTAGAACTCACGACACCCCTATGAACAATGGACCTGCCCCTTGCCCTGTCCTGTCCCGTCCTCATCATCTCTGACACACTTGAGCCCATACAGTCACTGGGTAAATTAATCTCATTGAAGGTCTTCCCTTCCTTTGCTGACCCTGCTCTTTCCAAGCATGATGTCTTCTTCCCTCTTCTAACAGCATACTTAAAGTATATGAGATGAAGTTCCATGACCCTTGCCTCCAAGGAGCCCCTGGACTACTCCTTTACAAAGACATACTTGCATGTCCTTTTGGCAGTTCATGGGATATTTAGTGCTCTCCTCCAATATCGTAACTCAAAGGCATCCATTCTTGTTCTGCAATTCTTATTCATTGTCCAACTTTCAGATGTATTGAAAGTAATTTAAAGATCATGATTTGGATCAGGTACAACTCAGTCTTCAAAATGACATCTTTGTTTATCAGCACTTTGTAAAAGTCCATGACAGTAAACTTTTCCAATGCTGTTTTTGTTGTGTACTGTAGAGTTGTAAACAACCTATTGCTAACCGTATGGTGGGTTTTCAGAGGCAGTTAATTGCATGACATGAGACTTCCCATCCTCCAATGGAGTAGGTAGTGGCCTTGAACCATGTGCCTTTGGGACTGCAGCATACCTTCTTGCCACTATGCTACCAGAACTCATAACACAATACATATTTTTATTTCCTGGCTATTGGTGCCACATGCATTGACTGAGAATCTAAGCAAGATTAAGTCATTGACAATTTTTATTTCTTCTCTATTTACCATGATGATGCCTATTGGCTCAGTGTTCAGAATTTTTGTTTTCTTGAAATTAAAATGCAATCAATCAATAACAACAGTATATGTAAAAGCCAGGATCAAGTACAGATATAAAAAAACTAGCCTCCCACAACCATCAGTGTTGCTAAATCCTCAGCATAAAAGTTCCTCACATTCATAAAAGACAATATTGATCTTTTTTTTTAAATCTTGAAGGAAACATGTTTCCAATTTCTACATGTAAAGTACAGCCTACATGTATGGCCCTCATACCATAGGCAGTTAAGAAATCATATGCAAGGAGCTATATTCATTATCCAGTAATAGTTTCCTTTAAAAAATGAAGATGTCACTAACGTAACAAGGACCATACGGAACAATGATAGCACCCATTTACTTATGTAATCAATCAGTTTGTAGAGCGTCACTAGATGTCTGTGTTGTGTGAGCATGTATTCCTAATAAAGAAGCAGGACACTGGCACTGACTAATAGGTTGATGAAGTGGATGACTCAGTGTAACTTCTAAAGGAGGTTAGTTTAAGTGCTGTGGAGTTGACCAGGACTCATAGGGTCTCTATGAGCAACACACAGTAATTCTGTCCAATATTAGGCCATTTTCACAGTCCACTGTTGCAGTCACTGTGTCAGTCCTCATCATTGAGGGTCTTCCTCTTATTGCTGAACATCTCCTTTCCCAATATTGAGGAGGTTATTCTGGACAATAATGTCAAGGAATGCCTTAAGCTTTTCCCAGACAGAAAAGACTAAAAAGCACCCCATTATACAAGCTGAGAGGTAAGGTGAAATCAGCATGGGTTGTAAAGTCAAACAGGCCATATTCTAACTATGAATTTACACCATTTACGAGCTATGCAGTGTAGGATAAATGAGCTTTTCTAAGCTTCTATTTTTTCCCCTGCTGTAAAATGTAGAAAATAATTGTCTTACATATGAAATAACTTGTATATAAAGAACATAGAAAATGACATGGCACAAGTTAGATGCTTACTATATAGTAAGGGAACTCTGGTGGTCTAGTGGTAAAGAGTTGCATTGCCAATCCAAAGACAGTTCAAATCCACCAGATGGTAGAAAGCTATGTGGTAGAAAGGTGGGCAATTTTATTGCCTCTGAAAATGCACTGAAAGGTCAGCTAGGAGTTGGTTTCAACTTAATGGTACCAACAAGTACGTAGTCAAAATACATTCATTGAAAGCTGCTAAAAACAGTATTTAGCACTTAATGAACTTTTCTATGTATATTTAGCACTTAACTATTTGCCCAGAACTTTTACTATCTTAAATAATTTAATTCTGAAATTTACGATGTGGGTACTTTGCTATATCTAGTTTCTATAAAAAGGAAATTAACATTCAACTTAAAAAAATATTTCCAATCCAAACCCACTGCCGTCAAGTGCACCATATAAGACAGAACTGCCCCACAAAGTATTCAATGTTGTAAATCTTTATTTATTTGCTTACAAAATTTGTCTACTTTATATTTCATAATCCTTCAATTCACACTATATTTCATACAACTGTTCCGACAATGTTTTAGAAAATGAATCATCATTGAGTTAAACCCACCATTATCCCACTTTTAAGATCCCTGACAGATTATTTCCCATTTATTTTATCCCCTCCTACCATCAACCAAACAGTATAACCCTGTAATTTCCCCTCAGCCTATCCTCACCACTCTGATCTAGCCCCTTTCCCCTTTAGCCCCAATACACATTTTATTAGTTATCTGTTTCTTATGCAGTATTTTTCCTTATGAGACTGAGTTAGTTCACTCAGCATAATGCTCTCCTGTCTCTTCCAAGGTATGCAGTGACTTTCAAAATCTTTTCTCCTGAGTGTATTCCATCGTGTGAATACACCACAATTTCTCAGTCCATTCAATTGTAGTTGGACATTTGGGCTGTTTGCATGTTCTTGGAATTATGAATAATGCTGCTATGAATATTAGTATACATATCTCCGTTTGTGTCTCGGTTCTAATTTCCTTAGGATATATTCCTAGTACTGGAATAGGTGGATCATATGGAATTTCTATGTTCAACTTTTTGAGGAAATGCCAAACTGCCTTCCAGAGTGGTTGTACCACTTCACAATTTCATCAAAAGTTGATGAGAATTTCTGTTTCTCTACCTCCTCTACAACATTTACTGCTTTCTGTCCTGTTAAACTTTGCCACTGCTACTGGGGTGAGATGGCATCTCACTGTAGTTTTGATTTGCATCTCTCTTATCCAGTGATGTTGAGCATTTCTTCATTTGCCTGTTGGCCATACAAATGTCAACCGCTATGAAAAGTCTTTCCATGTCTTTTCCCCATTAGTTGTGTTATCAGTCTTTTTCTTGTGGAAACCCTGATAAAAGATCTATATAATTTATCCAGTTTTTCTCAGTCTTACCTCCACCCTGATGTCAGCCTCATTCTACAACAGTGGCACCATAAAGTATTTGTCCTTTTGTGATTGAGATATTTCACTCAGCATAATGAACTGGATAAATTATGTTTAATGCGTTGAAGCCGATGAGGGAGAGAACAGTTTAAAAGTAATATATTTTATGGCATTATGATTATCATAAGAGTCCGGAATGAGGGTTGCAGAGTGGAGTATACTCGGGGTGGGGGTGGATTGTATACCAATGAAGGAGTTTTTCTTTTGCTTTTCAATGAGAGGAACGAACTGGGGGGTGGGGGGGAGAGAAAAGGGCAATGATGAATGAAGTCCAAAATCTCTGTAGATGTTCATTGAAATTAATTTTTTAAAAAAAGACCTATATAAGTGGAAAAATCTTCACTGTTTATGGATAGGAAGATTCAATATAGTGAAAATGACAATCCTACCAAAATCAATCTAGATGTTTAAAGCAATACTCATGCAAATAGCAAATTCTGTTTTTAAAAAGATAGAAAATATAATTGTCAAGTTTATTTGGAAAGGAAAGAGACCTCAAATAAGCAAAGCATGTGTGAAGAACAAAATTAAGTGGAAGGCATAACACTCTCTGATCTCAAAATCTACCATAGACCTTTAATAACCAAAACAGTATGCTACTGGTACAATG